AAGTGAACTCGTTACTTGTATCAAAGATGTCAAACTAATATGATAAGATTGATAACTAAGTTGAGCACGAAGCTCCTATCTAATGGCAGTCGTGCCAGTCTTATATAGAACCTTCATGTTCCGCCGTCGCCTACATCGCCTGTCGATGCTGTCGACATGTCGCCAGCATCGCCTGTCGATACTGGCGATGCAAATGGTCACGTGATTACAATGTAATGAAATCCCTGGATCGCTTAGCTAGTCTAAGCATCCCTATTTGCTATAAGAGATATGATAGTGCTCGACCTGTCAGGACGCCGCCTGGTCTTCACTTGTCACATGCTTACGTGATTCGTGACATTTAAGCTAAGGATATAATATAGCTATAAGTTATATGTTAAAACTACCTTAATATAGTGCCTTAGTTATTCTATATTTAATTATATTACTAAATTAGGAACAACTAAAGAGAAGAGGCTGATAATTAATATAATATACCTATATAACCTATTCGAAACAAAGGATATTAATAATAAATCCTTAATAGAGGGGAAGGATAATCTAGCTAATTTCAGAACTAAATCGAAGTTAAATAGTGTCTTAAAATAACTAATTAATATAAACTATATCGAGATTAATAGAGTCGGATAGGGAGAACGGGATTAAAGAGTGTACTATTTTATTATTATTATATTATTGTTTTTATAGTTATTCGTAGAGTTATTTCGTACTTTGTTATTTACTGTTTTTCGGCTATTTTAACCACTTTATAAAGTACTCCTAGTATTACAATATATCTACCACTTTTATTACGTAGATATCGGAAAGCTTAGTATATACGAGTACTTATAGCTAGTACTCGTCCTTTCCATAACATCAATCAATCAACTATTATACTAACTTTTATATGCCTTTGTTACTACTGTTTTTGTGACAGACGTGCTTCAGGTAGAACTCAGAACAATTAACACTCTATTCTTAGGACAAAAGACGAGGAAAGAAGGAGAGCTCGAGAGAGCTGGGAACTAAATACAGGTCGTGCGCGCTAGCGCCTCGCTAAGCGAGCATGTGACATCCAGCCCTCGTGACCATAACCGTCACAGTTTTGACCCTTATTTACGAGTATCTCTCGTACCAACACTTATTTATGTAGGAACTTTGTACCTCCTCTGATATGTGAAATTCATTTTTGGAACGGATTCAACTTGGTGGTCCAATGGCTCGGCAGAGAAATACAAGAACCCCGATGTGGAATTCTCCAGATTGCGGGAGGTCTTACAGGAATCTGGCTTTAAAGCCTCGGAGGGTGTGCTGCTTGACTCTCCGGATTCATATAATCTGAACACCGTTGTGATTGTCCAGCCTTTGAAGTCTCCCACTACGGCGGCTAGTATCAGTGTTATCACCAGCGAAAACAATAGCGCTCCTCCACTCCCGCGGGAACTCGAGCAAAGAGGATATACGGTAAAAAGATGCACACTACAAGACACGATACCACCTAACCAAGACGTCATAATTCTCCTCGACAAAGACATCCCCTTCCTCGAAAAGATATCCCCAACATCCTTCACGAACCTCAAGCACTTCCTCAGCAGACTCGAAAACTCAGGCGTCTTCTGGGTAACACACCACTCACAAATTCACGTGCAAGATCCGCGGTGGGCAGAAGTGATAGGCTTCGCAAGAACGATGCGGTCAGAGCTTCTTCTCGATTTCGCAACGTGCGAGGTGGTCAATTTTGACGAGAACGCTGCGGCAATCGCTGAAATGGTTTCCAAGTTCTATGGACGGAATAAGAAGGAGGCTTTGCTGCCGGATTATGAGTATGTGATTAATAAGGATGTTGTGTATGTTGGCAGATTCTATCATTTTACGTTGAAGGATAGTCTGGTTAGCGAGGGGGAGAATGATAAGGAGGTTCTTACTATTACTACACCTGGGCGTTTGAACACGTTGAAATGGGTTGGAAAATGTGGCTCGGATGTGTTGGGAGAGGATGAGGTGGAAATTGTCATTTGTGCTGCGGGTTTGACTTTTCGGGTGAGTTCAAGTTGTCTTTTCACAGGTCTCTTTTTTGGGATTGACCCATGATGAATGGGTTCCTTCTTGTCTCACTTTTTAACACCCTACAAATCATGAAAAGTGACTAAGTGAAGGCAGGACGTCCTTGTTGCCCTCAACTGTAGAGTTCCCTCAGCCTTCCCTCGGCTGGGAAGGATCAGGTATCATCAAACGAGTCGGTTCCAAAGTAACCCACCTAAAAGCCGGTGATCGCGGAGCCGCATTTGGAGAGAACCTTTTGCAAACCTCCAATACAATGAAAGCCGCAGCATTAGTCGAGATCCCGGATAGCATGTCCTTCAACCAAGCCTCTTCGTCCTTTTCCCCTTATTTGACAGCCATGTATTCTACGATAAACGTCGGTGGTCTTGAGAAATGACAGGTAATTTGATTTGTAAGTTGGGTTTGTGGATACTGACAACTTGTAGTCTGTACTCATATCATACACAGCGCGTGCGGTGGCGTGGGACTCACAGCAATTGAGATCGCGCGCATGCTCGAGCTTGAGATCTATGCTGCTGTGGGCTCTCCGGAGAAAATCGAGTACCTGGTTTAGAAGTATGGGATACCTCGAAGCCGCATCTTCAACTCACGATATTCCTCCTTCGAGGACGGATTTATGTCAGAAACGAAAGGTGAGGGCGTGGATGTAGTGTTAAACTCCCTTTCTGGCGAGCTTCTCTATGCATCTTCGAGATGTGTAGCTCAATTTGTGAAGTTGGTGGAGCTGGGGAAGACAGATTTTGTGGGTCATGGAAAACTGGATATGGATGTTTTCCTTGGGAATCGCAGCTATTGCTAGGTACGTGTATCCTGTAGGTAATTTGCGTGTACCGACTAATTCAGTTTCAGGTTGATGGAATCTCTCGCCAAACTCCTGGGAGAGGGCAAGCTACCCAGTCTTCAGCCACTTAAGGTGTTTGATATGACAACCGTAGAGGAAGCGTTCAGATACATGCAGCCTGGGCAAAATATCGGTCGTATATGCATTTCGCCACGGGAATCCCCGGACTCACACATTGATTTGACAACTATGGTTACGCCCAGAACTCTGCAACTAGACGGCAATGCTTCATATGTTTTGGTAGGTGGTCTTGGGGTTTTAGGCCGCGCAATTGCAACTTGGATGGTGGAAAACGGAGCACGTAACTTGATTTACATCTCCCGAAATGATGCACTGGGTTCGGATGATAAATTGTTCGAGGCCGAACTCAATAGCAGTGGCTGCAACGTCACTTTTCTGCGCGGTAGCGTTTCAATAAGAGAGGATGTAGACCGAGCAATCGCAGCATCAATACTGCCACTGAAGGGAATACTACAGATGTCAGCTGTCTTCAAGGACGAAAACCTTTCGAAAATGACCATAGATTAGTGGCAAGCGGCGACTTCGCCAAAGGTTCAAGGGACATGGAATTTGCACCATGCCCGTGTCTGCGGGGGCTCAATTGGACCTCTTTGTTCTCTTCAGCTCCATGTCTGGCATTATAGGTCAACCTGGACAAGCGAACTATGCCAGTGCTAATACCTTTTTCGATGCATTTGTTCAGTAACGAAATAACCAAGGCATACCGGAATCTTCAATTGACATAGGCGCCGTAGATGGAATTGGGTACATGTCCCAGACATCAGGTCTGATGCAAAAGATGGATGGAGCATGGTTCAAACCAGCTAAGAAAGAGGAATTACTCGATGCATTGATGGTAGCCATGCAACCTCAACAGCCTCAAGAAGACGAGCCCCACAAAACAGAAGCTCGATTTACCGAGCTGGACACATTTGTCCTCGGGCTGAGCTCACAATACCACTCAATGACTCCGCAAACAGGGCATTATGGAAGCGAGACCGTCGCATGGCAATCTACCACAACACCAGTTTTCTCCCGTCCTCAGTCTCAGCAGCCACATCTTCCCTCAAAAGCTACATCGCCAATGCCAGAACCGAGTCGTCGATTCTCAAGAGCCAAGAGGCGGGTTCATTCTTTGCGCAAGAAATTGGGAAAAAGCTGTTTCAGTTGTTACTGAAGCCAGATCAGGAACTGAACACAGAAATGACGTTGGTTGATTTGGGAGTGGATTCGCTTCTGGGGATTGAGCTGAGGCAGTGGAGACAGGTTTTTGGATTCGATATTAGTGTGTTGGAAATGCTGGGTACCGGTACTCTGGATGCACTAGGTAAGTTCGCGGCAAAAGGGCTGGCGAAAGAGTTCAATCGGTGAAAACTTAGTACGATAGAAATAAGTGGTCGGAACTCATAGCCTCATCATTTGATAACTGGATTATGAGGGCTCTCCCACGGACTTGTAATCTGTCTGTGGTTAGAATCCACTACTTTTGTAGGTGTTAATAGTAAAGGGTTCGTTTGGAATAGTAAGCGAGTAGCTCCACAACCAATCGGCGCCGTTCCGAAAATCATGACCGGATCCGAGATCGGTCAGGTCCCGCATCGGAATTTTCCCCCAGAATGCGATTCAGTGAAAGCTTCATTGAATTACTCTTCTCTTCTCGCAATTGTTCACGCAGTCATCATGAGGGCTGGGCTTCTCAAGAGTAGCAGGTCTGCTGTCAGGGTATGTGCACTTATCCCTCAACTGCGTGGTGCTGCTAATTGACCCCTCCACCCCAGAGTTCGCACCTGGCAAACATCCTCAGACCGCGATGCGCTCGAGCTCTTGCAACCATCACGAATGCCCCCTCGCACGAATATAAACCAGATATCGAACTACGAACTCCTCCATATCCAAAGTTATTGAAAAGACTCGAAGAAGTCCGACGAGTTTTGGGGAATGAAAGGCAGCTTACGCTCGCTGAGAAGATTCTATACTCGCATCTGGACAACCCCGAAGAAGCGCTGCTTTCCAATACCGACAATGGACTCAACATTCGAGGAAATGCCACTCTCAAACTCAAACCAGATCGAGTGGCCATGCAAGATGCCTCTGCGCAGATGGCACTGCTTCAATTTATAACCTGCAACCTACCTTCGACTTCTGTGCCAGCCAGTATCCATTGCGACCATATGATTGTGGGAGAGCGGGGTGCCGATGTGGATCTGCCAGAATCGATCAAGGGAAACAAGGAGGTCTTCGACTTTTTGGAGTCTGCGGCTAAGAAATATGGCATTGAGTTCTGGCCCCCCGGTGCTGGAATCATTCATCAAACGGTTTTGGAAAATTATTCTGCGCCGGGATTGATGATGCTTGGAACGGACAGTCATACTCCTAATGCTGGTGGACTTGGGGCTATTGCTATTGGCGTTGGTGGTGCAGATGCGGTTGATGCTCTTGTAGATTTCCCATGGGAACTGAAAGCACCTAAAGTCTTGGGAGTTCGATTAGAAGGACAATTGAGTGGTTGGGCGTCGCCAAAGGATGTCATTCTGTATCTTGCAGGAAAATTGACAGTCCGAGGTGGTACTGGCTTCATCATTGAATACCACGGTCCTGGTGTTGAGACTTTGAGCTGTACTGGTATGGCTACGATATGTAACATGGGAGCAGAAGTTGGTGCTACAACATCCATTTTCCCATTTTCACCTGGTCACATTCCATACCTCGAGTCAACAGGCAGAGCTTCTGTAGCCCAACAAGCCCAAGCCATTGCAGGTGCTGCTTCTATTCGAAACCTTCTCCGGGCTGACAAAAATGCCCATTATGACGAGCTCATCACAATTGATCTATCAAAATTGGAGCCTCATGTCAATGGACCAAATACCCCCGATTTATCGACACCTCTTTCCCAATTCGCTGGAGCTGTAGCCAAGAATGACTGGCCCACTACCGTATCCGCAGGACTGATTGGGAGTTGCACAAACAGCTCCTACCAGGATATGGCTCGCGCTGAAGATCTTGTCAAGCAAGCATCAGCAGCCGGGCTTGCTCCGGTTAACGACTTTTTCGTAACACCAGGTAGTGAGCAGATTAGAGCTACTCTTGATCGTGATCAAACACTTTCTACTTTTGAGAAGGCTGGGGGTGTCGTTCTTGCCAATGCGTGTGGTCCATGGTATGATACGTTTTCCTGAGAACGATCATTCCAGTGCTAATCTACAAAATAGTATTGGACAGTGGAAACGTACTGATGGTGTCTCAAACGGCGACAAAAATGCCATTTTTACATCCTACAACAGGAATTTCCGCGGTCGAAATGATGGCAACCCAGACACCATGAACTTTCTGGCCAGTCCGGAAATCGTGACTGCAATGTCATACGCTGGAAGCACTACTTTCAACCCTTTGACAGACAGCATCACCACGCCTACAGGTAAATCATTCCGATTTTCTCCCCCAACCGGCGCCGAACTCCCACCAGCGGGGTTCGAAATTGGAAACCCAGATTTCCTTCCTACAGCAGGAGCCCCATCCCCATCCACCCCCGTCATCGTATCTCCCAAATCAGACCGTCTCGCCCTCCTCGAACCTTTCGCTCCATTCCCATCAGGTGACCTCTCCGGGCTTCGCGTGCTCTACAAGGTAACTGGAAAATGCACAACCGATACCATCTCCGCCGCCGGTCCATGGTTAAAATACAAAGGTCATCTCCCAAACATCAGTACCAACACCCTCATTGGTGCCACCAACGCCGCGACGGGGGAAGTCAACGTAGCCTATGACATCGACGGATCCACATCGGGAATTCCAGAACTCGCGCAGAAATGGAAAGACCAAGGGCTTGAGTGGCTGGTTGTCGCAGAACACAACTACGGCGAGGGCTCAGCGCGTGAACATGCCGCACTACAACCGAGGTACCTGGGTGGAAGGGTGATTCTAGCCAAGAGCTTTGCCAGAATCCACGAGACGAATCTTAAGAAGCAGGGTGTCGTGCCGTTAATGTTTGCCAATGAGGGGGATTATGATTTGATAGAGGCGTGTGATGAGGTCGAGACAGTGGGTCTTTACGATGTGCTTAAAGCTGGTGGGAGAGGAAGTGTCAGTTTGAAGGTCACGAAGAGGGGCACCGACGATGTCGTGGAGATCCAGACGAAGCATACGCTTAGTGAGGATCAGTGTCGGTTTGTGCTGGCGGGGAGTGCGCTGAATTTGTTGGCTAAGATGAAGAGGAGTTGAGTGATCTTATCTACGTCTTGAGATGGATTTTTCGTAAGCGAGGATACTGTAAGGATCTGGAATGTATTTTATATGGTAGAATCCTGGCCTGGGGAGTTCAAAAAGAAAATGACTTAAAATGGTTTGAAACATGAAATGAAGTGGATGGCTTTTATTGATTCTACCTAATTTACAAAACACTTTCCTTCGCTCATGTACATCTACTATCCAGCAGAAGAAGGCATCCATACAACAACTTCCCAGCACAATATACCATGCTCCCACAGGTTGCAAATCTGAGACGACGGCTTGATATCTTAAGAGCCTGGAACAAAGGGACTTCCTTCTGGGGGACCACCCAGAAGGATTTGTGAGGTCAATCTTTTCCAGCTTCATGCGTCATTCAATCATGAGTATACCCCCGCTTGATAATCTAGTATCGAAATCCTCTTCAAAGCTCCCTCCATACTCTTGTGACGTGGAACCAGCCAACGTCCACTGCCGTTGGAGGCGTAGGGGAGCTTGATGGGTCATCCAGTTGTGAGTGTACCCCCAGCTTCGGAAGCCTTTTTGGGGCTCCATCCATACTCTTCTCACATGGAACCAGCCACGGACGTTGAATGGGTATGGAAGTCTGACTGGATCATCCAGTTATGAATGTCCTGGGCTGGTGCGCTGGTACCTCTGACATTACTCTCTTGGATGATTGGCATTAATGCGTAGGGGGACTGGTACTCATCAGGGTTTGGTGCCACGATCATGGCGTACCTTTCAGCGATTGGGTGTCTTTATTCAACAGGCCAGACAAGCGAGGGGCATGTGGGTGGGCCAAAAGGGCTCACAAAAGTGTAGCTGACGATATGGTGGATATTGTGGTGGTGTTGAAGGCATGTGGTAGTAGTGGGGTGGGGTATATATCCCACCATAACTTACTGAGCCTTCATCCTCATTCACTATAAATCCTGCCATTAATGGGTAGGGGGACTGGTCCTCATCAGGATTTGGTGCAACGATCATAGCGTGCTTTTCAGCGGTTGGGTGTCTTTGTTCAACAGGCCAGACAATCGTTGAACGTCCTGGTCCTGGGCGCGGTGCAATGCTTCTGTAAACAGGTTGGAAGCCCTTTTGGGGCTCCATCCAGATACTGGTGACATGATACCAGCCCAGGACGTTGGGTCATCCAGTTGTGAGTGTGCCCCCAAACCAATGAAGGGGGCTCTGCCCGCTTTCGTATATCGTCCGATGTAGGAGCCTAGAACAAAGGGCTCTCCTCTTGGTGACCACCAAGAAGGTTTCGCCGAGTCAATTTTTTCGAGCTTCACAATACAGCATCGAAAGCCTTTTCAAAGCTCCGTCCAGACGCTGGTAATGTGAAACCAACCCAGGACGTTGGGTCATCCAGTTGTGAGTGTACACCTAAACCGGGGAATGGGCCTCTGCCCGCTTGCATTGCATCTCACAGACTATGTGAGCTGAGGCAATGTTTGATACCTTAACAGCAGGATCTGGGCTATCAACACTCTTGGATGCGGATCAATATGCCCCTCGGTGGACGTCCAAGGGAAGCACAGCTTTTTCGGAACGCATACCGAGTAGACCCAAAGGTTCATTCTTGTAGTAACAAACAAGAATGTTGTCCAATACCTCGTGGATTTTCACACCCTCTTCATCAACAATGAATTTATGATACTTAGCAAGCACAGCAATTTTGGAATCCGTCCTAGTAGACTGATTGTAACGTCGTTCCAATATCGCGTAGAATCTACGGAGTCCTCTCGTCCAAGATATGCAAAACCAGGTTCTCCTACTACGCCAACCACACGGTCAAGCAGCGGTAGGACGATGCTTGAGTACGGGCCATTGTTTCTGTCGCTACTGACTTCGGGCTCTGAAGGAACCCCAATTTCTCCGTTCATCTTCTTTGCCATCTGCATGGCGGAGCGGAGGTTGGTGTTCAGGGTCTACGGAGTTGAGATACACGCGAATTTGACGAGAGTCTCGCAGTTTGTGAATACGCGAGCTCTCCATCCATGCCGGATGTTGCGAAGATTAGAGAGCCATTCCCACCTGTTTCTTGGGTCAATATAATCTCAGACCGGAAATACCAGGCTCTCCGTGCGCGTGCAAATGAAAATGTGCCACTCAAAATAACAGTGAACAGCAAGAGAGAAATTAACCACAAAGTCATCTTTGAATGCCGCACGTCAGAACACAAATGTAAGAGCTGCCTCCGCTGCTGTGGAAGTCGAGTGCCTCTTTTCTTAGTATTAGGAATTTTTGCTTCCATGGGCTGATGAAGTTCTTCCCCTCTTTGACGTAAGCCCAGCCTTTGGGCTGTTGTCTCTTCGCTGCTTTGTATTTGAATCCCGGCCAAAGTCTCTTAGACTCTTCTATGTCAACGAAACTATGACTCATTTGAATCAAGCTTACAAGCCAATTGCTGATATAGGTGCGGATTCTAAGAGTTCTGCTAAACATCTAAACGAAACCTGGGTGGAAAGGCGATGAATCAATAGGCGTGATCGAATCTCATACCAGTTCTCAGACCATATTTTGGACTGCCCAACATTTTGTTCTAAGTCAGAAAAGACGGGCTTACACCAACGGGACTTTTCAGCTTCGAAGCAAGGTCGAATTCAATTCTCACGATAACAGTTGCCAATGCTAACCTGCGAAGGATTGTGGTGAGGCCTTGCTTTTACAACAACATTCAGGAGTTTGCGTAACGATTGAATCGACAAAACCTGGAGCTGAAGCTGAGCTTAATTCTCTCTTTCTGGCGGCCACATCGCAAAGAGAGAAGGCAGATTCGATGAAGAAGACACAGCCGGGAGACAACTCATCCTGCCCAGCCAATACCAGAACTCTGCCAGCACCAGGTATTGAGACACCAGGGTTTTGATAAGCGTCATCACCACGATTCGGCCGCTTCACGAAATAGACTCTTTACCACTTGACGGGCAAGTTGGCTGCCAGGAGCTAGTCGCCAATCTCGCATCCAATGGCGCGTCGCTCAAGATGGGCTATTGTGAATGCCTCTTTGGTTTCATATCGAGAGCCCGAAGTTTTGGAACAGTAGCGAATTGTTTTCAGCATCGGTTCATGCGTCAACAAATTTTGTTCTTGCAGATTCAAAAAGCTGGTTTGTTTGATCGAGTACGAATTCGATATCTTAGCTCACATTTGGTACAGGAGCTCCAAACGCACAAGTGAGCGTAATTGTATCTGGCCTGGCGAAACCATCTTTTTCAGTTTCCAGTTCACATTAGTCGCTATCGAATTTGTCTTCGGAGTTGAAGCATTTCCAATCAACAGAGCTGTCTGTAATAGGGAGTGTTTCCGTTACACCAAAGAGAGCTTGCGATGCATATTCTTTTGTCCAGTAGTGTTTTCTGACTCTTTTGCACAACTGAATTCGAGCCACCTTTTCACTCTCGTCTACCTCATCATGTCATGGGGATTGGATAGGCCATTTCGTCTGGAAGTGATCGGTTGGTCGTGGCACTGGTCTCCCACTACTGGTGTCTGAACCTGACTGGATGGTGTTGAGGAAGAGTAAACTTGCTATGTCGAAACCCAGCGAGTTATAGTCCTTCATTGACTCCACCGAGTTCTCGCTAGCGGTGGGATCACAAACCGGTTGCGAAGAAGTCGACTGGGATGCTGGAGTTGGCAGCCTTATGGAGTTCAGCAGCCGACTTGACACCCAGTTCTGTTTTTGCGTCCAAGGTCATAATTGCCTTTGCACCAGCCTCAACACAGGCGCGGGCCATGAAGTTTCCAAGACCTCGTGCACCACCGCAAGAAGGAATTGTAACTTATGATCTTCGATGACTGAGTATTGATTTGCATTTTGGTGCATCTTTGTTCTTGGTTCTTGGATTTCATTGACTACATAGAAGCGTTAGAAACTGCATATCCCCCTGTTCGACGAAACTTACCACCAGGAAATGTTCCCGGGATATTTTTTCACAACCGGAAACAGGAAGTTTCCTTGTATTTCTTTTCGAGAATCACAATTATTTCGGCATCGGATGGGACGACCCCGTTTGATAGAATCTGAGGAGTAGTTGCGCCCCCAGTTCCAGAGCTGTTGGCATAGCCAAGCGAAGCCCCGAATTGGCTGCAGAAATATTAGCGCGTGGCCACAGAAAAAAGCAGAGATACGTACTATTCAAATCCTCAGAAATTGGTTCCTTCCGAGCAATGAGTTAACGGATGGTAGAGCTCGATACCTTTGTCGCATAATTGGTCACCATCGCTAGTTTTACGTCGTTGCGGACGCTTCTTACCAATCATGAGTCACTTCAGGTTAGTCTACGCACACTATCTGGATCATGGAGTCAATTGAAGGAACTATGTACAGAAATATCCGCCAAAGCAAGACACTGCTCTTCCCGTTCTTCATGCTCTCATATCTTTCAAATAGCGCTACCCGGCTCCAGATCCTTCTCATAATAGCCTGTACCAATCGGATTGTCGAGTCATTGGCTTGGTATGGGGATGGTCGTTGCTGCTGGTGCGAGGCGGCCGGTGCTTGAGGGGAAGCTTGTCCATAGCCAGTTACAAGAGGTTGTTGAGAATATGCTGGTGGGTGCGTGTTGTTGACCAAACTTCCCCAGAGGCTGCTACCAACCCCGGTTTGGGGAATGGTTGCTGGCCGTTTTGGCTATGTTCGTGACAGAAAGCTTCCAGATCTCCTTTGCTCACGGCGTTCTTCCCTCAATAGAGGAATATAGCAATGGTGTCAGTTGTAACACCTGGGCTAACAAACACCAAAAGAGTATAATTCTAATGACTAGCGCTACTAGATGTCTTTCCGGCAGCAATTTCCGTACCATTCATCTTCTTTGCACCAGCAGCAACTTCTGTTCCGTTCATCTTCTTCGTTCCAGCATTTTCTTTTGTGCCATCTCGATTTCGGTTGGATGCCTTCGCATAATGAAGGCCCATTTTACAATCAAAGCCATCCTCTGGAAGCGGAGGTTGAGGGAATGGTTTATCTGCTTCTGCTAATGTCATCTTTTGTTCTCCTGGACACCACCACGAGGTCGAACTTGGATGGTGCAATGTTTTCGGAACGAGGCTCCGCAGAGGTACGCCAGATGGCTGCATGTTTGTAGCGGTAAGCTGGAAAGTCATTTGTGGGTAGGATTCGTGTGCATACACGTGATTTGCCGTTTCGATGTGTTGCTGTATCCTCGAAGTCTTGCTCGTTGTTGGGTCATGGCTCGCTTCCCGCTCTTTAGCGCGCCTGGTGGCGACTCAAGTTCTTTACCTCTTCTTAAGGTTCTGTAGAAAAGTTTGGGTCAGTTTATACTTTTCATATGTTGGTAAAATGGGAATGAGGAGTAGGGATTGATACTTACCCTTCATCTCCTCATCAACCTCAGCCTCTTTGTCTTGTTCTGGGAATGGCGAGGGAGGACAGGAGTCTGAGTATCGCAAAGAAGAGTTGGCAATCCAGTCATAGGAGTGGCCTCCTGGACAGTTACAACTCGCACATCACGCCACTCCAGACCAATCTCTCCATTGATGTCGAAATTGGCGATGTCCCGGCTGGAGCGAGAACCTGATGAAATTTAATTGGTACTTCACGAGTCGTGGAGTGCGAAATGACCATTCAGCATTCATGCGGTTATATCAGTGCTTCACGAGCTGTCATTTGCGATTTGGCCATTCAGCATTCATGCGACCAAATCGACGAGTAGTTTAATGTCGTTTCGGACACTTGTGGCAACAATCACATAAGTTCAATTGAAAAACATCGTTTGAGATTTCAGTAAGAAATGTATTTGCTCAGGGTTGTATTTACAGGACATATATAGCCGTTGTCTCTCCTACCCCTGAATGAGTGTGGTTCCAAAACCAAGCTGCAGTCTCCGTCATCTCCTAGGCGATCCCTAGGCGAGATGAATGGATCTCAGTTCCTAGGCGAACGGGCGGATATTTTCCACAAGGGCGGATCGTTGAGGACCCTTCCTCCTGGTACTAGCCTGGAGAATGGCAACTTGCTGCGTCAGTTGCTAATGCTCAATGTGAAGGTCCTGCCCGAAAGAACAACTTACGTTGGAAGATTAAGCGACACGCACAACTAAAATATCCCCCTTCGTCCCTTCACCCCTCGACCCTCTTCTAAACAACATACTAGGGCACAAACCATATGCAACAGTAAAGATGCGACAGTGAGGATACGAAAGTGAGGATTTGACAGTGAGAGTGGCATTTGTGGTAACGTAGTGTGGACCATTGATCAACCAGCAACCATAGTCACGACTATCACGACAAAAGGATATGTCTACATGTCGCAGATCTGAGTTTCGGGGGACCATCTGCGGCGATGACATTCGTTCCAAGCTACGGGATTCGAATTTCTGCCAACTATTCAAGAGAAAAAATGTCAGTACAAACACTTCGATGATTGACAGAGAAAAGCAGCCAGTGCGGAAGAAACAGGGGGTGATTGGGATAAACTTACCGAAGTTGCTTCCTGGTTGTCTTTCCAAGCGAACCTTGTTTTTGCAGCTGAACCCCAAGCCCCATCCCATGCGGGGTGGGAGAGAATAGAGCAAAGTCCAGTTGGACCTCCTGTGGCTCATGATCCAGTCCAACTGGAGGTTGGATGAAGTCATTGTAGACTTCCATAAGGTAACACAAAAGGTCCATAAGAAGTCCGAGCCCTGTGCAGGACCACGGAGGTGCAGTGGTAGCTGCAGAACATCAGTGGCTGATCTGTGGAGGAAGGTTTCTCATTTATATTTTCTGCTTACCTCTTCGTCGAGTGGCGGCAATGGGCCGTTGAAATTCTCTGAGGTTGAGGCGCAGGCTCCATCGATTCCCATCTTGGTGGTTTCGCTGTTCGTGCCAGATGACCCACCACTTGATCTTCTTGCTCAGAGGAACACCCATCACTAGTGCGGGTATCGGTCGACTCTACTGCGCCGGTTAGTGTAAGCTCAGAAAGGTAAGGAGAAAGATAGAGATCGGAAGATACTTACTGCGAATCTCGTAAAACTCGAGAAAGTTTGCAGAGATCGAATTGGACTCCAACCAGGATAAATTTGGCAATACTAGGTGCCAGTCTTGGATGTATCGCAGTGGGAGGGTGCTATGCCAGGCATAAGCCCCAGTGTATCATCGCCATCGTGGGTCGGAGCAGGCGCCACCAATAGTTGTAAAGCCTCGATGATGCTGCACATTTGCTTGTTCAAGCCAAGTCCCACTGAGGGTTTGGTTATTGAGGCGCAAATGCTGAACTTGATTGTTATTCAGTACGATCTGGTATTGCGTTGAGTTGACTGTGAGTAGATTGTCGCACTCTCTCATAAACCCAGAGGACCAAGTTTATGACCGCAGCGATCGCTGCAGCCAACACCATCTTGAGAACCATCCTTGGTCCCCTGGATTTTGCGTGCGAAAACTTGATGGTTTGACTGGCGTACCAGCGGGACTTGCGTACCCGATGGATCCCAGTAGAAAGCTTGAAACAGAAAGATTAGCCAGATAGAAAAAGCAGCCACTCCTCTCCATGAATACACTTACGACTGGTGTGCCAGTTCCTGGCATTTGGTAGCGACCAAATAACCAACGTACGGACACAGGTTGACTCCTTGATCGCCACCATGCCTTGTTCCGATAGTTGGGTAGGTAGAGCAAAGGTTTGATGAATTTGGACTGGACGCAGACCCCAACTCTGGGAGATGGTTGACGTGGTAGGGGGCTGGTCACAGTCTTCGTTGGATCATCCACTGATGTTCCTGAGAGCGACACAGTGTCGCTAAAATGCGAAGTAGATTTTTGTCTCACTCTCAGAGACAACAGAGATCGTTTGGAGATATCTTTGAGAACGCAAGAGAGACACATGATAGTGTGTGCGGTTGCGCAGATCGCGAAGGATGTGTTAAGAGAAGAGATTGTTTAGGTTTGTGTGCCGGGATCTTTTGTCAAAATGAAAGTGTGCGAAAGATTCTACGCTAGTTCTCAAAGAGGAATAGCTTCGCGCAACCTCCAAAACGACAATAGCAAATTACTCAGGATGCAATTTGAAATATTTGGGTTTCACGCATGTGCAACAGAATTTAAACTACGATGTGTTGAAGTGTTTTCTTGCTACAATCCTGATATTTGTTCAATGCCATTCGGCTATTCAAGCAGTCGGCTATTTAAGGGGGGAGAATGTCGGTTAGTAGCGTGGTTTCCAATGCCCCGCCTCCGAAGGCACGTGACCACTTCCTGGCAGATGGTGTGGTTGATGTTCACCCACCAACGATACAACTCATCACCAACCTTTTCAAGACAAATAAAAAACGCGTAATATTAACGCGTTTTTATTATTGAATCACTCTATCATATCTACCTACTGAGCTCTTACTCCTTGCAAAG